TAATTTTTATCTTGACAGCATCTGTTTTAAGATTATATTTGCTATGCATGTGCATATATATAAAAACACAAACTTGCCTAACTTGTATTACTAAATAATCCCTTAGAGTCTTGAGCCAAACAAAATGTTTAAAATCTCATGGGAAAAGTCAATCTATGCTGTCTATTGACCGCTACTCAGTTTGGGTCCTAAAAGATGACTACTCAGTTTCACATTCCATCTAGAAGGCCGTTTCAGTAGTAACATCATGAGGGGCAGGGTTGGGAAATCTAATGTGTCTTTAAAATCAGCTCAGCCTAATCTGGGGACCACCAGCACTACGTGCCTTCATGGTATGGTTATTGCACGATGTCACTGCAAGGCAGAGTTCAGATCATCTGGGTGCCCTAAGTGTGCATTTCCATATATCAACATGTTTGTACTGCTTTTAAGTTTATCCTTAACTCTGAATTACCTGTTGTATAACATTTGGTTTGGGGATAATTACAGCATCCCTGTGTGATTATATGCTACCCTAAATCACAGATCTGTACTCTAAGCCTTAACTCATCAAATGTAGATTTTGGCACTGGCTTATTTAGTTCATTCATTCATTTTCATCCCCATAAATTGGATTAACTAATTAGACATAGCATAGAAGACAGTCCCTGCCCCCATAGTTTATAACTTAGTTTATAACTATTGTATCTGTTTTTGCCCTGAAGAGTCACCAGCTCCACTCAGTAGAATACAGTTTTGATGCATATTTGCTCATAACACACCGCATTGGGGGGCTTTTTTTTTCCTTAGAGGCCACCGAGGCAGGAAGTGCCGTATGAGCATTATGAACAATCAGTGAGTGCTCATGCTGTGGAGCTAGTCACAATAAATCTAGCTTGAGTCTGGTGAGGAAGAGGCACATCTTCATTCATTGCAGATTACAAATAGATTAGAGCTATTGCCCGCTCAGAGCCACCGTCCCCACACTGAAGACACAGGAAAGGGAAGCTGCTGTCCGAAGAGAGAACCTGTTCTTTGTCTCCTTCCAGCTGCAGTGCCTGGGAGGTCTAGCTATGCTACGCTGACAGACAAAAATAACCAGACGCTGTCTGAGCCTTCGCTCACGCTGTACTTACAGGGTCGACAACGCCAGGGTATTAACAAAGGATGAGAGGAAGGAAGGTTTTGTGGTTATGGTGCTAAACGAGCACTTGAGAGTTGAGTTCATTTCACAGCCCTGCCCCATGTGACATGGGTTTAGTCACTTGAGCTCTTTGCGCCTGCGTTTGCCATGTGTGAAGTGGCAATCAGAACCCTTTCGGTTTACATGGGTTGTAACCTCTGGAAGGCAGGGATGGTCTCACTCTGTGTCTGGCCACAGTGGGGACCTATCTCAGGTGGGGCCACCAGGTGCTGATAGCGATGCAAATAGTAGTAATAAGGTTAGAACGTGCCCGTAGGGTCTGCAAGCAAGGGGCCTCTCAGCACGCAAATCTCCTGCTCCTCATGTGAAAGAGGGAGTGGTCAGCCAGGGCTGGGGCACCAGGCCTCTTTCCTACAGGCTCAAGAGTTCGGGCAGCTGCAAAGGGGGCAGGTGTGAGCGGAAAGGCAGGCAGGGGAAGGGTTTCCACTGTGTCCCCAGGAGAAGCAGCATGTGCTCAGGAATTTAGGCCTTTGCTGTGGCCCCTCCTCACAGTGGGGCACACCCATACCCAGAGTCCCTGGCTAGTCACCAGTGGGAAGGCCCTGCCAGTGCGGCTGCAGCTGAGCCGTAGGCCCAGGCACGGGGAGGGGAGCCAGAGCACAACTCCTCCTCTTCTGCTCATCGCTAATCGCTCCCCTTCCTCTCCCAGCCTCGGAGGAGCCACGGACGGTGCAGTGAGAACTCCCCCACCTGCTGTCAGGAGGTGCAGGAGATTGCAGTGGGGAGCTGGTGCAGAGCCAGGGCGGGGCTACGGCGGATGTGGAAGGACAGCACCTCTGCAGGGGTGACTCAGTGCTCCTTGAGATCTGAGGGGATCTGCAGGGCTGGGAGGAGGGGCCCTACTTTCTGCCACGCAAATGGACAGGAGCAGGGAGGTGGGGTTAAACCCTGACATGCCCTTCTCCCCACGAAGGAGAGGAAAGTCCTATCACATGCCTCTTGTGGCACTTCCTGACCCCTGCATGGGTATTTCCCCATAAAGGCACGAGCTGTCTGAAAGTTACTAGCTGTTATTTATGCCCTTCTTACAATGTGTCCCTACCCCCCCATACTCAACCCGCAGAACAACCAACCATGAACCCTGCCCTTTGGCCCCAGATGGATGGGATCCTGGCCTCTTTTGTCAGACGCCTGTTGGAGTTTTATTAATTCCTCCCCCATGTTATTCCTAGCTACCTAGTGTTTCTCCTCTACCCCCAACCATGTGAATTCTCAGAGCAATAAATATTACTTTTATTGTCAACAAATACAGATGCAGTGAGAATCCGCAGCATAGCTAATCTTGTGTTCGGCTTCTGTTTACAAGGCATTTGATCTGTGTTCACACTGCTTATAATGTGAACAGGACCCTTTGAAACAATTACAGCCTTATTCTAAGTACTTTCCATCTATTAACCTTAAATGCCTTGCCGGGAATTTGTCAAACACTTAGAATCTTTTATGACCCCGGATAGAATGAATGTTCTCCCATCACCAAGAATTTCAGCTGTTACAAGAGCAAACAAAGGGAAGTGTTTTTTCCCTGCTAGTTTGCGTAAAACATCAATGTCTATTATTTTTAATGAATAGCAAATCTCTTGTTCCATATTTCACGAGAGCTGGTTTTTGTTGTTGTTGCAAGAGCTGGTTTTCATCACTGCCGTGTACATCTCAACCTGCCGAGTCCAAGTCATGAACCTCCAGATGAGGGATAGAAAGAAAATAACAGGGCAGGAATATTTAACCCTGAACAACCTTTTCTTTGGCATCAGATTTCACAATTCATCATTGCGAGATCTCAACAATTGACGACGATAAAAGTCACATCACACCCAGGTCTGTGAGGGATGGAGATAGATAAACATATTTCAAATGGGGGGCAGACCATCTGAATAATTTGTGGCATTCCTCTTAGTCTGACATCACCCGCTCATGATCTGAAGTTCACCCCCATGGAAATACCACTACAGTTGTTAAGCACCCACCTTTTAGCCACCTAAGAGAAAGGGTGAGTAATCTTGTGGCTAAGGCATTGGGTTAAGACTCAGGAATTCTGGATTTTTTTTTCCTGGCTCTGCCACAGACTTTCTGTGTGACTATGGGCCACTCACATAATCTGGCTGGCCCAGATCCACAAAAGGGCCTTAGACATTGTGAAGCTGAGTGTCATGGAACCTACCTTTTTGGTGCCTAGAAAATCACAAGGCTCCTATACAATGAATGGGAAGAGACAGGTACCTTATAATATGATCCGCAAAGCCAACACGCTAGGCTGGGAGCTGCCTACGACGCTAGCTATTGGGAGATGCTGGCGAGAGGAGTGTGTGCTAAGCCCTGCCACTCTCTCAAAGCTTGGCGCCTACATCTGGGCTGCAGGGAGGTGCCATCATGAACCAGGGGAAGATGGGCATTTGGCTGCCTAAGTTACATGGGCAGGGCCCCGATCAGAGGTCACCGAGTGCTACACAAAACACCTGGTCGGTGGGGGCAGGAGGACGCTCTCCTTGCTAACCTTAGCCTGGTGGTTAGGGTACTCACCCAGGGTGTGGAAAATCCCTAGTTCTAGTCCCCCCTCTGCCTACATCAGCAATGGGCTCTGCCCCTCCCACCTTGTGTGGCACAAGGCGACCTCGGAGCACGCCTAGCAGATCAGGCCAACTGAGGCAGATGAACCCGGTTCAGGAATTGCTCTGGGGCTTAAGTGGGAGAAAGGCCTGTGGGTGCCTAGAGAGAGGCAGCAGTGTGTGTGCTCAGAGGCAGAAACTTAGGCATCTAAGGGACTTTCACTGAAAAAACTTAGGAGCCAGGTGACTTTAGGCACTTCTAGGGTTAGGTGGCCACCAAGTGGGAGAGTTGTGGGTGGAAGTGGTGCCTAAAAATGGGCCCTCGGCACCTCAGTATCTCTGTGGATCCCAGAGTCTGTGCCATGGCTTCACACCTGTAGCAGAGGGATAGTTACCCTCCTGGAAACCCTTCAGGCTGGAACCGTCTCTCGCTCTGTGTGTGCAGCAATTGGCAGTCTGGGCCCCTGAGGTCTCTAGACACTGTTTGCGACAAATAATAAACTAGTAACTGTGTTGCACCAAAATGTATTCTTTCAAACAGGACGGGGGGTCTCTGGGATCTGCTGTCAATAGTTTAATAACCAGTTAATGTTTGTCCCTTTGCAAGAGTTGGGGGCGAGCCACAAAGTCTGCATCCAGATACTGCTCCAATTTTCTTCATAGTTTAGGGATGTTCAAATCCTGGATTTTGGTTCATGCCCAGTCCTAATTAGTACCGTTCCTGTCCTGCTGAAATCAGTGAAGTGCAGACAGAATGACAATAATTTAAAAAATATTAATGGATGGGTTTTTTTGAACTCCCAGAGCTTTGATTCAAGTTTTGGATAAGGTCGAATCAGTTCTTCTTGTAACTGAACTTGTTTGCCTTCTCTGAACAATGACACAAAATGAAGCAGATGGTCCCAATGGAAAAATCTGAGTAGACCACACTCCTCACTACAGCTCTGATACCTTTACAGAGTAATTAAAGCTGCCCTCTTTACAGGGTGAAGACTGTGTGGAAAGGCTACCTCTCAGCAGGACTGTGCAGGATGATATGGATATCAGAGTAAGAATAATTAAGAAGGACTGTAGTTTGTAGAGAAGATTGCACAATGACAGGGTCATGTACCATCTATGGTCACTTGGGTTCTTACCATCGGCAGGCTGGTTCTCATTGTATTTTTAACTGTGATTACACTTTTGATCTCCAAGACTTAGTTTATAGTTTCTGCTTTGCAATCATTGTGGTGAGCTTGCTGGAGTGCATATTAATCTCCAATTTTCTGCAACAGAGCTGCTCTCTCAAGACACCGAGCTGGCTGCATATCCTAGTATTACCTTACGAGGCCAAGTCTATCTTGCTGCAAAGTCCAGTATGTTAATGAGGGAAAGGAATGAGACATTGGAGAGTTCGTTTACTTTTCATAATAATATCAACCCAACAGGAAGTAAGTGGTTTTTCTTTTTCTCTTACGCAAACTGAGACTGGGAAAAGTATATGCCCTTAACCCATTCTTGTTTACAATCTTCACTTGCCTTCTTGTGGTACCCCTGAAATGCAAAAAATCCCAGCCTGCTGCTGTAGCAACACTAATAAACAATAAACATAGCCCCAGTTTTAAGAGGTTTTTTTGAAAGTAATTAATAATAAACTGCCATGGTGTGTTGGTTTTTTTGTTTGTTTGGTTAGTTTTTTTTTAGTTCGAGATGTGTAACTGGACAATGAATATTTTTTTCTGAGTGTTGCTGAGTTCCAGGAATCAGGGAATCATATTGCAAGAACAAATTAAGCAACTAGGAAACACAAGGGAAAGAATAACTAGAGCTTGCTAAGAAGCCTTGTCCTTGTAAAGAAAATATTTCCCACATGGTAAATGCAAGGAGGGGTCCTCAATGCCTGTTTTTATTCAGTTTGTTTCAAAAATTTGCCTTGATACATGTACAAATTATTCCAAAAATAAATCTATTAAATGAGACCAATGTCACCATTAAAGAGAAACAGTAACATGTATGCATAGAGGTATGAGATCTTAAATGACCATAAATTACCTTATGGTCGTGAACCTTTATATCAGTATAAGAGCCAGATCCAAAGGCCACTGAAGTTAATATGGGTCTTTCCATGAACTTCAGTGGTCCTTGGTCAGGCCTGGTGAGACAGAAGGTTGTGCTGTACAAAAGGAAGAAATGAAGGACACTCAATTTTAAAAAAAAAATCTCTTAAATGACAAAACGCGATCAATATGGCATCAAATATTGTACAATCCCATCTCGGAACTGCGTGCAGTTCTTGTTTTTAAGCTTTGGTACAATCAGTTCCTTGCATGAGATCTAACAGATTTTGGAGGATTATAAAAAAATTCACTACCAGTAGACAACATCTGGCTTTCTGACATTCATGTCTGCATGAAGGAGGATTTATTCTAAGATTCAGGAGCATCACTGTAATTCTGATTCACTATTTCAAAAGCATACATCTGCTCCTCCTAAGGAATTCTGCAGGCATCTGCACTGTTTTCATTGTGTTTTTCATGTTGCTGCGGTAACGAGAGGATATTCAATTTATTATTTGCACTGTGCCAGATCCGAGCCCAGGCTGTTGACCCAATCCTGCAAAGTACTTAATACCTCCTGGCAGGTATCAAAGCGCCTTCAGCTACCACTGAAATCAAAGGTAGCTGAGGGTGCCTGCTTGGCTGCAGGAGTGGAGAGAAACAAAACATGTATGTTCCCTTGGCTGCCAGCACATGCAGAGTGATTCTGAGGCTTGGGGAGAGCCAGGCCTGCAACACAAGCTATGCGAAGGGAGAAAAAGCAGTGGACCAGTCTCCTCGCAGACAGGAGAAACTGGAAAAGTCAGCTCTTCCACTAAGCGTGCTCGAGCAGTTTGGGGGTTGCTGCGGTTTGCAAGGCTGTCTCCGATCATTTGTATCTGGCAAATACAAATCCTCGTGTATTCCTTTGCACGAGGACTCTGAGCTCAGAGTGCTCCTCGCGCACAGATGTTATGTTATCCTCGTGCTAATCTTCATGGTTGTGACAGTGTAATTCCTTACAGAGGTGCTCAGCTACCCGGGAGGGGCTGTGCGGAATAGAATGGCTACGTGGACCTCACTTTGTATCCCTGCTGAACTAATGCACCTCCTCCCCGTTCTAGGTGCTTGTTTGTAACGCTAATGATCCCAGACGCTTTTTAGAAAGAATGACAGAGAACTCCAGGGCTCTTTTCTCAACAACACACAGGCTGTATGTGGGAGTCTCACTGGGGATGAAATTCACCCCGACCCAGCGAGCCTTCACAAGGTGCTGCAAAGCATTTCAACCTATGCAGTCAGAGCAGCACTTTATACTGGTTCTGAATAGGTTGGAATGGAGGGAGACCTAGAGGAAGATGATGCTGGATGTCACTCTGTATGCGCTGGATCTGCTATTCCCACAAATAGGATGCTGGAGCAGCTGCTAAACTGCCCTGTTCCTTCCTTTGTGCCAGCTGTTCAGAAGCTTTCAGGTGCAGCTTGCTTATTTTTATTGTTACAAAAACCTGTTCTGAATGCACCTTTGCCATGGGAGTTTAATCGCTGGCTTCAATGGGGGCAGAATTAGGCCAATGCTGAGCACTTCTGAAAATCCCATCCTGTGTGTTTGTACAGAACCTAGCACTGATCTCAGTGGGGGCTTGTAGGTGCTTCTGTATTAAACATTATAAATAATATTTTTGACAAGGAAGATGGCCCAGTGCAACATGAAGAGACTACACTGGAGCTGAACAATTCAGAGCCTAGTGTAGGTTTTGTTTTGAAGACCATAACAGGATTCAAAAAAGAACTAGATAAATTCATGGAGGATAGGTCCATCAATGGCTATGAGCCAGGATGGGCAGGGATGGTGTCCCTAGACTCTGTTTGCCAGAAGCTGGGAATAGGTGACAGTGGATGCATCACTTGATGATTCCCTGTTCTGTTCATTCCCTCTGAGGCACCTGGCATTGGCCACTGTTGGAAGACAGGATACTGGGCTAGATGGACTTTTGGTCTGACCCAGTGTGGCCGTTCTTATGATGAAAGCATCTAATTTTAAAAAAATTCCTTCCCATTGACCATGCACATAAATCACAAACCTTCTTGTACCTGATGTGTTATTCCTTGACTTTAGCAAAGCTTTTGACACGGTCTCCCACAGTATTGTTGCCAGCAAGTTAAAGAAGTATGGGCTGGATGAATGGACTGTAAGGTGGATAGATGATCATCGGGCTCAACGGGTAATGATCAATGGCTTCATGTCTAGTTGGCAGCTGGTATCAAGCGGAGTGCCCCAAGGGTTGGTCCTGGGGCTGGTTTTGTTCAATATCTTCATCAATGATCTGGAGGATGGCGTGGACGGCACCCTCAGCAAGTTTGCAGATGACACCAAACTGGGAGAAGTGGTAGATACGCTGGAGGGTAGGGATAGGATACAGAGGCACCTAGACAAATTAGAGGATTGGGCCAAAAGAAATCTGATGAGGTTCAACAAGGACAAGTGCAGAGTCCTGCACTTAGGACGGAAGAATCCCATGCACTGCTACAGACTAGAGACCGAATGGCTCGGCAGCAGTTCTGCAGAAAAGGACCCAGGGGTTACAGTGGATGAGAAGCTGGATATGAGTCAACAGTGTGCCTTTGTTGCCAAGAAGGCTAACGGCATTGTGGGCTTTATAATTATGGGCATTGCTAGCAGATCGAGGGACGTGATTGTTCCCCTCTATTCAACATTGGTGAGGCCTCATCTGAAGTAGTGTGTCCAGTTTTGGGCCCCACACTACAAGAAGGATGTGGAAAAGTTGTAAAGCATCCAGCGAAGGGCAACAAAAATGATTAGGGGACTGGAACACATGACTTATGAGGAGAGGCTGAGGGAACTGGTCTTGTTTAGTCTGCAGAAGAGAAGAATGAGGGGGGATTTGATAGCTGCTTTCAACTACCTGAAAGGGGGTTCCAAAGAGGATGGATCTAGACTATTCTCAGTGGTAGCAGATGACAGAACAAGGAATAATGATCTCAAGTTGCAGTGCGGGAGGTTTAGGTTGTATATTAGGAAAAACTTTTTCACTAGGAGGGTGGTGAAGCACTGCAATGCGTTACCTAGGGAGGTGGTGGAATCTCCTTCCTAGGAGGTTTTTAAGGTCAGGCTTGACAAAGCCGTGGCTGGGATGATTTAGCTGGGGATTGGTCCTGCTCTGAGCAGGGGGTTGGACTAGATGACCTCCTGAGGTCCCTTCCAACCCTGATATTCTGTGATTCTATGTAGGTGGCAGATCTTAGCTCTGGTTAGACCAACGCACGTTATGGAACAAATGCACATGACGATGAACCTGTATGTCAGCAGAAATCTTTAGCTGTCTGTTTGTATCAACCCCTTTTCTATGCCCAGCTGCTCTATGTTTTAGGCAAGAGTAAGCACTCTCCATTGCAGAAAGCTGCTCAAAATACGTGAGCTCGGCAGTATTTTATCTGATGAGTGAATACTCAAATCACTTTAATACAGTTAGAATATCCTATAGTGGCAAGATAGAAATCGCCTGATGAGATCAGGGGTCCATCTAGTTAAGTACCCTGTGTCCAACAGTGGCTGAAATCACCTGCTTCAGAGAAGGTATAAAAACTCTTTGATGGCCAGTTATGGGATAACTTATCTACAGAGGGGAGTTTCTTCCTGACCAGTGTCAGTTAGGTGTTGGTTTAGTCCCTGATGCAGGAAGGTTTAAATCCCTTCCACACTTTCTTTCTTTCTTTTTTTCTAAAATTCTTTATTAACGTAACCCTGGATGTACTCATTACCCATATAAATGTCTGAACCTTTTAGAGTGACCAGATGTCCTGATTTTATAGGGACAGCTGCGGGATTCGGGGCTTTGTCTCATATAGGCCCCACCTCCCGGGCTGATTGTTCACACTTGCTATCTGGTCACTCTAGATCCTTTTTCAAAAAAAATGTTGCAAACGTTAGAGCAATGTTGCAACGCTGCTTAAAGGAGAGTCTCAAAGGGTTATTTATTAGTCTTGAGCAAAGCAGAGGAAAGCTGGTTCATTGGTTGGGGCACTAGCTTTGGGATGGGAAGCCCTGCGTTCAGTTGCTGGCTCTGCTCCAGATCTGCACAACCCTGAGCAAATCACATAGTTTGTCTGTGACTCCCTACCTCATCTATAAAACGGGAATGACGATACTCCCCTCCCAAACAGGGGTGTTGTAAGTATAACTATGTTAAAGACCACTGCCAGATGCTCTGGTAATGCAGGTCATACAGATAGCGTGGGATTAAAGACAGCCCCTACCTTGAATGGCTCACAGTCTAGAAGACAAGCCAAGTCACTCCTCAGGTAATATAAAATAAGAGGAGTGGTGGTTTATTTGTTTATTTGTTTGTTTGTTTATTTATTTATTTTCTTCACTTTCCCATAGCTAAAGCTCA